CCCCATGTATACAAATTTCCTTGAGGCCGTGGAGACAGCTTTGCAGGGCGCACCGATGGAAGTTTGGCTGTCAAATCGATGAACAAATTCCCAAGTGGTTACGTAGCCAATCGGGGTCTGTGACGACGGAATGGTTTGAAATCAGGAATCGAGCTGTCACGGAAAGCACAAGGCTTTTGCTCAGTACCAGACACCAAGTCAATCCAGAAGAATCATTGTCCTTCCCGATGAGCAACCACAAACCCCAGGCTACTGGAAACCATCGTTATTTATCGACAACGACCGTAGCTCTGCGCATAGAAACAGCTGACTGGTAACGTGAATGGTACGGATTGGCAACTAGTTGGCCACCAATCGATCCACGCCACCCTTCTTCAGGTACACTTTAATGTTAGTGGCCTGGTTGGGATTGACAAACATGCACGAAAGAATGAATGATCTCATCACGCTTTTTCCGATTTCGTTTGTTTGTAAATGCAAAATCAATTTCATGCTTCAAATGAGAGCCCTACTGAAAGGACGCGCATCCTCTAGTGCAAGTGGTAAAATTAGCACCAAAAATAATGGAGTTTAGATCAATAATGAGTAATGGGGATTTCGGTATAATTAGGGATAATTCATCATAGTTCACTCTGTCAGCTGGCTTCGGCAAATCTGAGAAAGCACGAGACAAAGATATTTCGACCTGGATCTCGACAACTATGTGCCTTCCATCCGACCAGTGCCGGGTAACGACCCCATGGCTTCCGGGTACCAGCAGCTAGTGCCAGTAAGCCATGAGGGACGGTCGCGGACGTGCATGATTGAAAGTTGACTATGATATAGCCCGGCTCATCTTCCATTGCCATGCCAATTACGAACTGTGCAGAGGAGAGCAATTCGTCGCACGAGCTAGGATTTTCCGCAAAGTGACTGTGTACGACGCAGCACAGAAGCTATGCGGACGGATGGAGTTGTTGGAACTCTGTCAAACGACATGTTCCGCTTTCAACAGCCACATATACAAACAGATAAGTGGTATACCGATGGGGCACTGATCTCTGTGTTAGTAATCGAGGTAGTGATGTAGGCGTTGGAATGGATAGCTTTCCTAACTATGAAAGTGAAACTTTGGTACGCTACCTATACAAAAGCTTCGTCATCCCTAAGGTTGCACACTAAGAGAGACACGAGCATGTTCGATGGTATCCAATTAACCAGAGAAAAACAACGCGCAGTAACCATTTGTACAGTGTTCAAATAATGGAGGTGCTGGACAAATACAAAGGAGCCTATGGAAAAAATAAATGCACACAAATCAGATCGCAACCACAACAACACTCCTCCGGCAGTTCACAAGCGCAGCCGCGGAAGAACCCCATCCAAATGCGCAGGAATAAATTAACACACTGCAGCTGAGAAGGCATTAGCGGTACGCCGCTATGCAGTACCGACGCTTCGTTGTCGCGCAACTACCACCGGTCGTACGTGGAATAAGGATACTGCGAGGGTCGCCCTGCCTCTGCGCTGGCACAAACCCGTGTCGTCAGATTACAAAACAAGCTTGCTACCTTTAGGCAACGGGTCGGCAGCTGATGCAGATAGAGGAAGACTACATCATCAGACTATTCACACGGGACTCCTACAAAGAGGACTACAACCTGCGCTGTCTGGCATCACATAAGGAAACAAAACACATCTTAAGAAATACAACCGTTGTAAAGAGAAGCACGTAGCCTCATATCAACGAAGTGTCTGAAATGGCAGTGAAGACTACATCAATTCATAAAGTGAAGTTTCACACAGGATTTCCCTATCACAAATTTCAAAAGAAATAGAAGAAAGAACATTCCAACAGGACACGCTGAGTTCAGGTATTTCGAGTGCTTTCGTCAGCGGTTTACACACATTCGTGAAATTATTGCGTTGCGTACAAAAGGGAAATCAATGTACAAGGTCAGTCAGCTCAAAAAACTACGATCAATAACCACACCAAGGAAGGGGAGGCTGGCCGTAAGTTTAGTCTACTTGCACAAATTGGGCTTAAACCGCCGAAACTACGTCCGTACATACAAAAGATGCACCTGTATAGCAGATATCTTGACGATACGTTCGTTTACTTGAAGGTCACTCTGCGATCAAATTCACAATGGAAAGAGAGGTGGACAACACCTTCCACTTCTTGGATGTACACCTGTATAAGAATGCAGAAGGCACACTCACTCAATCTGTGTATCGAAAGCCTATTTGGACAGGACAATATCTGAACTTCAACAGTTTCTGCCCTCTAAACTACAAGCCAGCATTGGCCCGCTCTGCCTTCGCAAGAGCTCGTAAAATTTATTCCGAAGATATGATTGACGATGAACTAGAACGTGTGTCATCAACACTACAGGAAAACGGATACCTCGCGAGATTCATAGCTCAGTATGCAAGCAGAGAAAATAGTAAGAAGCCTTTGATAAGTGTCTCCAAGAAAAATGTGTTCATTACGCCGCCATTTAAAGGTGATCAAAACGACATAACATTTCAGCACCGTCTCCGCCAGGCAGTTGGGAAATATTATTACGCAGTCGAACTGGTGTTATTACACCAAGTTAGGGAGTTGCTCTGCAAATCCAGCCTGGACAAACTACACCCTCACGTTACCGCCTCTTGTGTTTATCGATTCCACTGTATTGTGGTAGAAAGTACGTTGGCTGAACTGAGAAGAGACTATCCACTAGCATTTCAGAGCACAATACACAAAATATGGTCACTAACGGTGCGGAACTGTCGGCTAGCACTATTGCTCCACACCTCCTGGGTTGCACAATGTGCTAACGTCCTCCAGATTTGTTTAGAGTAATTAACCTACAGAGCAATGCCCGATTGCTTCAGTTTGCCGAAGCCTCAGTTATTCGGCGGTTTAAGCCCAATTTGTGCAAGCACTCTGAACTTACGGCCAGTGTCGCCCAACTTTGGTGAGGTTACTAATCGTTTTACTTTGAAGTGGCTGACCTTGTGCATTGATTCCCCTTTTGTACGCAACGCAATAATTTTACGAATGTGTGTAAACAGCTGACGGGAACACTCGAAATACCTGAATTCAACGTGTCCTGTTAAAACGTTTTTCCTTCTTGCTATTTTGAAAGTGAAGATTGTCCACCGGCCAACGGAAACGACTCGAGATAAACGAGTAATGTGATTCTTATGTTTCGCTTCTTACGTGGGGCATACAAAAAGAGCGATACGCACAAATCTACGTGAACATGAGAAGACCTGTTTCGCGGCTCTCTTGTGCATAGTATACTGCAACAAGATTTTACCCGCAAAACCTTTGAAGGATTGACTGTCTCCCTTGACTCGATCAATATTTATTAATCAATACTACTGCCCCTCTGATATATGATACGTGAATAACACTACGAGGGATCTTTTCCATGGCATTCGTGAGCCCATTCGGAAGTGGATTTGCAGCGATAAAAGGAGGTGCTCTAATAGTTCCATCATGTCGTTTCACTTCGGGCACGTCCACGAAGGCCCTGAAAACGGTTACTGAATCATTTAATATAGTGCTGAGTAAGTTACGCGCACAGATTCCGGTAACGTTTATCCATCACCGAATTTATATATGCCCGGTAAATTAACAGAACTTAGCCATTCATTATCATGATGTCCGTGCATAGCGATGCTGAAAACCACCGATTGGGTTTAGAGCAAAAGAAAATTCTCAGAAAGATAAAAGAGTGATAAACCCGTGAGTTCACTAAAGCCTGGAATACAAACCAGGGGGTTCCTCAGTAAACACCTGAGTCTAGGCGACACGAACGAGGCGCTTGAAGCCGCTGCGATGTTAACTGACAATGGGAACGTCTATAAACTGCTCTTGGAGAACTTGGAGAAGGATGCAAAGTCCATAGAAACGAACGCTGCAATGGCCCATCGTATGAAATACATAATGTTCTGTAAACTGAGACGCTATCCATATCACGTGGCGATATTTAACTACACTTCGTCCGCGCCTGTGTCACACATACCGTTATACACCACATGATTCCACAGCGCATTTTATGGGCGCGGCCCCGCTGTTGTTACGGTTTGATTCTCCGGTTCTGACAAGCATGTTGTAAATAACGAAAACTACAGGTCGCAACCAGATTTTCACCACAGCAACACGGTTGGCCATTTGTTGACTCAAATAAGACAGGTAGCCAAACCTTTTATGTGTACATATTCTTTCACGCGGTTAATAGATCCAAGGCGCTGAGCAAGTTGACTGTGGTACTGGAGCACTTCTCCTCATCGTAGATAGATTTTGATCCCTCAGCAATCAACACTCACGCACTCTATTTATCGTCTTTGTTATCTGTTGAAATTACGAGCATGAAGTACACGAGTACGTGCATCGCGTACACGAAATTCCGGTTAGTTTACTGGACCGGCGAACAAGGATGTTGCGCACTGGCTCATGATCTGCGCTGGTCAACTTATCGTTAGCGTTCTATAACCGCTAATCTCGGGCAGATTCAGCCAATGAGCCACTACTGCACCTTCGGAATTGCGCTGTTCCTCACCCACCCACTAGGTCATCATCATCAATGCATGTTAGCTGTGGGTGAGAAACACACCACAACTATTGTGCCGCAATCCCCAGGCTGAGACACAACAATGGATTTTTTAAGTAAGTTGATTTGTTTTAAAAGGCAGCTGTACGCCGGCACATCGTACCGACGCCCCGGCACCACAACCCCTCTGCATATGGGCTGAGAATACCAAGAGGTCGCACACATCTATGCGGATTCGAACTACTAGCCCCTAAAGCGACAAGAAAATTAGCATTACGGTAGTTGGGGAAAATTGATCCCCGCATTCGAATGCCTGGACAACAGTTAATCGATGAGCTGTGTGCGAACACAAGAAGAAGGCAGCCCGGTGGTAGGAGGAAAACAACACGTGAGTCGATGCGATAGCAAAATCACCAAGTAATTGGGTGTTCCAAAGACGAACAACACATAGCGATCAATCGCGAATCAACTCACTTGACCTCTGAAGGAAGGGGGAACGAATCCGCTGAAGAAAGGCAAAAAACTAGAACACAAAATAGCCTAAAATGGTATAAAATTATGGCATTTAATCGACTTTTACCGATATTAGTTCATCCTTGTCCCTGAATTGGCTGACAATGATGTTTTCGCCGGTGCCACAAGAAGTGAGAGAAATGTTCAGACGACCAGAACATAACAAATGTGCGTCTGAAGGCAGAATACGCGAAAGTAACTCCCGCAGGTATTCGCTAATACTGAATCTTAGGTCACATGCTCTTAGAAGGTATTGCTGACAACTGTGGAATATACTGCACCAGCCCCGCACAACGTCGGCTATAAATAAAATGGGTTCAGTAGATTAGGTAAAAATAAAACGACTGCACCTGGAGTACAATCACAGATGAGTGCGGCGGCTGCGACAGCACCAGCGCTGGAACCAGCAATTGGTCTGTTGTGATACAGATGAGAGGCGTATCTGCGAAGGCAGCAGCCTACTCCAATGTGGTAGACACCAAGAAATCCACACCCAGCAAAGGAAAGATTGTGCTTCAAATGTAGAGTATCCCTGTAATAGCGAGTATCGTCCAGTGGAGAGTCCGTGTGCCCGAGCATAGCAACAGCTAAAGAGGAGAAAAGTAAATGTGATGATACGATACAAAGTGATGAGGCAACTAAGCACCGTATTGGATCCATTCTTATTGCTGAACAGTGAACTGAGACAGAGTGGAAAAGTGGTAGATAAGTCGCCTAACAATACAACCCATCATAATGAGACAGGCTGTGTACTTCGACGAAGTAGAGCACACAGCAGTTATTATATGGTAGGAGTAGTAGTAGGCATCGAAACATTTGGACGTTCGAATAGTGGCGGCAGTTCTACAGACCATTAACAAAACTTGTCACACTGTTGTTACAGACAAAAACGGGCTTGAGGATGAGGAGCTAGCGTCTAGTGTTCGAGGAATTCGGGATTTTGACAGGGTTGTAGTTCGACACGTGGAGTTGGAATCCAACTTAGTATACACCGCATTCCAGTTAGGGAGTAAAGAAATGTGCTGGCAAATGGACACTGATGGCATAAAATCAATGAATGCGAAATTTCAAGAAGAGGGAAAGAGTCCGATATCATAACGCAAAAAATGCAAGCACGCGTGAGTCTAGCACAGACGCTCCGCTGCTACGCAACCACGACCGTTTGCACGTGGACTGCAATACTGCAAAGGTTGCTCGCTTCGCGTATCACAAAGGTCCGTGTGGCTTTCCAGGGGCAAAACCATCTATGGAGGCAACGGGACGCCAGCCGGCCGGGTAGTGAAAAGTTGAGTGTATAACACTGCGATAAGACCGGTATTACTGTAAAGATCAGAGACGAGGCCAATTCGTAATGAAAACATTAAATGCTTGACTGTGTTTGACCACCGGTGCTTGCAGAGTTCTGCTCACATCTCGTGGGAACACCTGGTCAGCAATATTGAGGTCCGCCAGTTGGTTTTGGTAAGAACCCTTCTGGTGCACCCTCGAGTGCTTAATGAATCTTAGTCGGTTACGTTGGCTAAGCCTTGTCTTCATCGTCTTCTTTGGCAAGTACTATACGCCGTGGTTGCCCTAAGTTGGGTCAAACCACAAGGTGGACAGTGGATAACGTGACATAGAATCACGTAAAACTGACCGAGAGACTTGTCCAGACTGGTGCCTGATGTCTTCGTGAATGGGGCCCCGGATGGTCCATACGAGTGGTTAGTGATTCTTCCAGACATCGCGTAGCCGGTAGCTTTCTTGCATCCAGCCGTTAATTCTCATCCCCGCTTGGCCAGTTTAACGCATTTCCTTCATGATTCTATTTTCTTTACGTCCTGTTTCCATACAAACTCACTTGCATACCGTTGTTATCATTGTGGGACTGGCGACGTGAGCTGTGGCAACTGCATCCACCGCACTATGATGCTCGAATAATAGGTGTGCAACCGAAATAAAAGGCTGTTCGCAATTGTGCAAGCTTAAACTAATGACGAGTGGACCGAAAGTGGAACACGAATGATTCCGTCACCGGTCAGGCGTTCAGTTGTACAGTTGCAAACGGGACCGGAGTATTCATAAAAAAAATTAAGCAATATATCTAACACACTAGTGGTTAAAGACTCAGACTCTCCATAGGTTAATCATGTGGTTGTGGTCTGCAGCTGTCATCAGATCGAATGGACGGTCTTTGGTTTGAGTCGCAATAACCGGTAGTTAATGAAGTCCAGAGTCAAGGTGCACATAAAATGCCGACCGAGGAAAGATGAAACCAAAACTGTAGCCATAGTAGTAGAAGAATGGAGAGTAAACAGGCTCAGATATATAACCAGTCACACGTTCTTATGCTGCCTGATCCACTAAATTTGTAGTTGAGATTTCAACCTTGAAAAAACTGGCGTTGATAATCGGATCCGGGGCCTCATTCAAGGCAACAAAACTCTATCACAAAAAGAGAACAACTACACATGTGACAAGATTGCAGCGTGGTTCCAGCGCCAAACTATCTTACGAGAACCCAAATTGCATTGCATGTAAATAAAACAACTAAATTCACCGAGATACAAATAATCAGCAAGAACAACAGAAGACCCAAAAGGAGCAAGTGGAAGTGTTAACAGGAAAGTACGGAAAGACTAGACGCGAGAGGAAAAATAGGAAAAAAGCAAATTAAGTGTCTGTGCGCTGTCAAACAGAGGGGTCGAGCTATATCGCAGTTAGGTTTCAATGCGTAATGGTCGGCTATCGTCCCCATGGCTCAGTGGCATAAGCTACTGGCTATTTGCCGTTAGGCTCTAGCAGTCATGGGTTCGATCCCCAATAGGACGAAACGCGCGTCTGGTGCTTTTCCGGATTGGTAGCTTACCTATGCGGCTTGGAATCTAATTGCGATGAAGCAACTTGAAGCAGAGTTTTCGTCATGAACGCATTCCTGCAGATAAGTCAGTTCCAGTGATTGCTGTTGCCTGTTGTCTCTTGTTTTAGGAAACATACTCAGAATGTAACCAAAAAAAACCCGGATACTACCACTCGAAAAACATCATTCACTTCCGTGGTCACATTAAAGCAAGCAGCCATACACTGGAAAAACATCGATTGCCGTCACTTGAGATACGGTCACCAGACAAGATTTAAGGGGAGAAGATACGCAGAACAAACAGCAATCTCCTTTGGTTTGTCTATAAGAGGTTGCACACAATTTGAAAAGTATTCAGATAACCGACGCAGAATGAAGCTGATGTACCATCAGAGAGTTGTGGTAGCATCTGGGGGGGGGGGTTAGCATTATGCTATGATCTCCACATCAAAGTACGAGAATGCATGGTTTTGACCAAATTCATTGATCACACGTCTATCCGTAAAGCAGTACGGAAACTTTTGCGGTCCAAAAGATGGATGATTCCTAATACATTGGCACAACGAAGAATGATGATGATGATGATGATGATGGTAATGCAAAGTAACGCAGTGTTTTGCCAAAAGGCATTAGATGAAAAGAGTAAACGATGCAAGGCATAGTAGCCTGGATAAGCATTAAAGAGCTGACTAGTCGAACTACCTCCTCGTGGTGCCAGCTGGGTGGGTCGGGTGTACCCCGTTCCAGTGAAGTGTCCGGTGACAGTGTTGCACCTCGGTGGGGCATTGTAGTACAGCAATTGTGCTTATTTCATGGGGAGTATTAGGCCCCTGAGTGGAAATCTACCAAACGAGACGCAGAAACTGAACATTCCGTCAGTAAGTCCCAAAGGGCGCGATTCCATGAAATCGTCCCGCTGCCTTGCGGGTAGATGATATAGTCAAAAGCACGGGGTTGGGTCCCCTAAGTCAAATCCCTACATCGGCTTGGGCAACCGGGTAGTATCACGCCCTCTCACAAAACCATGGAGGGTACTACAACGTGCACATCAGCTACCGTTTCTGCTTCTCACATTCACGCGACTTCATCACACGCTACTTGTTTGTTTTCTAACAATCCTTAGTTTCCGTTGCCCGATTCATGTGTTCAACAATCTGGCTGCGATTTCGGTTGCGCGGAGAACCACGCAGTTTAGCTTATGATTCTCCTTCGTTCCGTCTGGCGTTCTTCAACGTTCGGACACACATGCAGATTGGACAGCAAACCGGTCTAGCGCGCACGCTAGATGCCCTAGACAATGATGTCCACTGCCTTTCAGAAACCCGATTGCAAGATCCCAACACTGTGTTTACATTGACATCCCCTACTGACCACGAAACCAGATATCACCTGCGTCTTGCTGGAGATCCAGTAGAAGCCTCAGCGGGTTTTGCTGGTGTAGGTATAACACTAAGTGGCAAGGTCGACGCAGCACCACTGGACTGGTTACCGATTAACAGCCGAGTATGTGCAGTTCAACTTCGGGGTTCATATAGAATCAACAAGCACCACGAAGGGAGACGTGACCTGTTTATGACCACCGTGTACGCTCCAAGTGACTACAGTGGCGACTTGGTCAAGGACGAATTCTACTGGGATCTACATCTGCTCTTGACTAATGTTAAAATATCGGGTGTCTGTTTTGGCTTGGGATGTTAATGCACGGGTTGACCGCCTGTTACCATACGAACGCACCTTGGTGGTCATCAGGCGCTCGATGAGAACCGATTTGAAAACGGAGAGAGGATTTGTACATTGTATGAAGACAACCAGCTGTCTCTATCGAGCACTAACTTCAAGCGTACGAAGAAGTGTTCCGCAACGTGGCGTCCCCTTTCGCCAACACAACCGTGGTCTCAAATCGACCACCGTGAAATTAGCATCAGATAGCGTGGCAGCCTGCTACACTGCAGGTCCTTTGGTCCACTTTCGTTGACTCAGATCATGCCCTAGTCTGTGGGAAAATCTGTATGTGTTTTGACGAATCCCGAAACATAAAGCACCGCAAGATTGATGTAAACAGATTAACTGATTCCTCTGTCCAGGAGAGCTATAAATCTTCACTGGCATATGCACTCAGTTGAAATCCACCGCAAGAGGTGGAACAACACTGGACTTCTATACGGAAGGCAATGACCATTTCCGGACAGTCATGCTGCGGTCTAACTCGACGTCCCTTGAAGGCTTGGATCTCTGCTCGTTCTCTGGAGCTGTTCGAACGCCGCAAAGATATCCCCGCGGAATCAGATTGCAACGAGCGACTCCGTTCCTCCAACCGCCTGCTCATGCAAAGCCTACGCAAGGATCGAGAGACATGGTGGTCTGAGCGTGTTTTAGAGATGGAGACCGTAGCCCTCTCCGGCAACACTCGCAAGCTTTTCCAACTCTTTCGGTCCACTGGCCTCAGGAAGCCTGGTGTTAGTGAGGTTATTTGCGAGGTGGATGAGTCTCCGATCACCAACCAACAGAGGCGCATGGATTGCTGGCCCGATCACTTTCACTCGCTGTACAACTGGCCTCCACCATCTATCAGTACATGCAGTACACCAAGTTGGCTACCCTGGCTCGTCCCATTGAATCCACTCAGCGAAGCAGAAATCCGCCTCGAGATTCGACGCTTGAAGCGCTTCAAGGTTTCCGGCTCAGACGGACCACCTCCGGAGCTGGTCATCAAGTACGGCGATGTGGCGATCATTAAGCAGCTGAGCTT